TTTTAAGGGGAATATTAGTGTTCCCTCTGAGTCTTCAGGAGGGGAGCCTGTGACCAAGGCTGCAGAAGAGAAAGCTCTGCCTGATGACACGAGCAGCGGGAACAGTCCCCTGGAGCCAAAGGAGCCTGGTAAGAAGAGAGTCTGTGTTCCTTTAGAGATGACTGAGACAGCTGCTCTGAGCCTGAGTGTTACAGGAAGGGGAGATCAGAACAGCTGAGTTATTGTCTGCAGTGCCAGTGCTTCCTTGTGCCTTCAGTGAAAATATTGTGCTTGCACAACCTCACAGAGTACTCACCCACACATTTCTCTAGATGTACTCAGACCAGGTGTTCTTCTGCGCAAAAGGGCATGAATTAGATCAGTGAACAAAACCTGACATTCTGAGAGTTGTGTCACCAACCCAGGTGTGCTACAGAGGCAATGCTGAGTAATGAGGTGACTATTAAAGCAACAGGGAGAAAACCCACCAAACTGATGATGTCAGTGTAGAAGTCCAGCCTTTTGGCTCAAATCACTACCTACATTTAGTACCAGTCTGCTGATACCTATGCTGAGACATGAGAAAAACAAGCAGCAGAACATCTGAGCCCAAGCAATTCACAGATCCAGTAATCTGAATGTCCCCAGATTAGCAAGACCCAAGAGGGGAGAGAGAGAGCTCGCTCTCTTGATCTATTCTAGAGCAAAGGTGGTGCAGGCTGCAGGCCTTGTTGGGAGGTTTTTTCCCTCCCAGCTGTTCATCCGAGAGCTGATGGTAGAGTTGGAAGAACTGTTACTCGCTTCTGAGGACAGTTTCTAGATCCCAGATAATGATGCTGCTTAATAGCTCAGCTCGCATTGCCCATGAGTTTCAACCATTTAAGTAAGGACTGAGAAAGAACAAGGCTGGAGTTTCTTTGTGAGATGAGACTGTCTGTGTTTAAAGCTCTTGTGCCATTTGCAGGGTGAGTGCTGGGACTTTATCAGGTACTTCAAAACTTTATAGAAAACATGGAAGAATTCCTATTCTTTAAACAGCAGGCCTCAAATTCCCAAGTGAGAGCCTGCCTCTGAGGCCATCTTCTACAGTCCCTGAGAGCAGTACAACTGCTGGGGGTGCTGCTGAGGAGAATGTACACAAGGACCCACAGTGACACTGTTCCCTTTGCTTTCCAGAGGTCCATGAGCTGTACCTCGCCAGGAGAGCTGCTCTGCGTGGGAGGAAGCGACCGAGGGAGAGCCTGTGAAACAGGGCAGCAGGAATCCCTCTGTAGATAGTTATATTTAAAGATGCGTATAGTTACATTTATATAATATAGTGGCAGAGTTATATTTATAGAGGTATAGAGATGAAATAATATATTAATATCGATTATTTTAAAATATTATAATGTTATTTAACATTATTAGTATAGTTATTATTAATTTAAATATATCATTAATTATTAAATAATTATATCATTTCATTATAATATCATAGAATAGTATAATTACATATAATTGTTATTAGTGTTTTATAGTTATTACTATATTATTGCAATATTTTATATTATCAGTATTATTTAATATTGTTTATATATTATCTGTTTCTTTATATTTTATTTATAGATGTACATATTTATATTTATATATATGTATAGTTAAATTTTTATATAGTTATATTTTTATATATTATATTTATATGTATACACACTCTACATATAATTTTATATCTATTTTAGCTATTATATTTATAGGTGTGTATAGTTACATGGTTAGATGTATAGGAATGTTTAGCTACATATATTGATATTTGTATAGATGAAGGCTGCTTTTTCACCTCTTGTCTCACTCTGCTGCCTTTTCCATCCCTTGCTGTTCCCACTCTGCCACCTCTGTCCCTGCTCCCTGTGCTGAGCTCTGGGCTGGCAGCCGGGCTGGGGAGAGCAGCAGCTCCAGCCCCAGGTCCCAGCCCCCACATCCCCATGGGAGTGGTGGGAGCTGCTGGTGGCACCAGGCACCGCTTCCCAAGGAGCTGCTGGAGGATGGTAAGGCTGTGGGAGCTGAGGGGACAGTGATGCTGAGGTGATGGTGGCACTGAGGGGAGAGTGGCCCTGAGGGGGCTGGGGGAGCTGTAGGGTGTGGTGGGGACTAAGGGAGGCAGGTGTTGGGGCTGAGGGGGCTGGAAAACTGAGGGAAATGACAGTCTGAAGGGACTGAGGAGACTTGAGGGGCTCTGTTTGCCAAGAGGATGTTGAGGCTGAGGGGATGGTGGGGGACCAGCGGGCAGCACAGTGGGGTCCAGACCTGTGACTCTGCTGGGCCACAGCACCAGTTCCAGACTCTCCACTTTCGCCAGGACTGCCCTGAATTCCTTGTGAACAACAAGAGACTGATGAGGGCCAAGAGGGAGAAGCTGACAACCACCAGCCACACCTTGAACAGGGACCTGCTGCTGCTACCTGAGACCCTTGGTGAGGCCACTGGGCCGGTGAGATGGGATGAGTGTGAGGGTAGTTTGGGTTTGGAAACGGGCCCTGTCCCGAGCCAGGAGGACTCCCTGCCCTTGCTGGGGGCAGCTCAGCTCAGCTCACCTGGGGCCGGGCAGGGTTGTCCTTGGGGAAGGCACATCTGCTGGCACAGCCTGGGAGCTGTTCCCCATGTGTCCTGCTCTGCCCATGGGCTGCAGCAGGACAGTCTCAGCTGGGCTGTGCTGGGAACACCCTTACCCCTCGCTGGGGAGCTGGCCCAGCCCTGCCCATGGATGTCCCTGCTCCCTGCCCAGCTCTGGGGAGGCTTAAGGAGCAATCTGGGAGCCACTGGGACATGATGGGTCAGTGCTGTGTAGGGCCAGCTGGTGGGAGCATCCTGTGAGTTTTGTGCAGAGAGGAGGAAGACCTGGCAGGAAGCTTCCTGCCAAAGCTAGACAGTTTTCCTAGAGGTCTGAATGAGTAGGTGAGAGCTAAATAGACAAGTTATTTGTTGTCGAAAATCCCCAGAAGACAACATTTTTTCTTTCTAACCCTCCCTGAGAGGATTTGAGATTTTGTAGTCCCTGATAGAAGTACAGTTGCTGCTAAGCGAAACGTACAGGAGGACCAGTGTTGACTCAATATCCCCTTTGCTTCCCAGATGTCCATCTGTACCTCTCCAGGAGGCCTGCTCTGCGTCGAAGGGAGAGTCTGAGCCTGTGAAGATGGGGCAGCTGGGATCCCTCTGTAGAGACTTATATTTAGAGATGGGTGTAGTTCTAGTTATACCTAGGTAGTTAGAGATATAGAGATCTTTACATATGTAGATTGATATTTGTATAGATAGGTTTATATATGTATCTAGTTATATATGTATCTGTTGTATTTATATATGAATGTTTATATTTCTATCTATATTTAGTTATATTTACATAGGTATGCAGTTGTATAGCTATAAAGTTTTATTGATCTAGTTATAGGTATAGGGATATTTAGATAGGTATATTGCTTTATGTATCTAGTTATATTTATGTGTGTATATTGTTATATTTATGTATATTGTTTGTCATTATATTTACATATGTATAGAGTTGTATAGATGTATAGTTATATTGATGTAGTTACAGGTATATGGATATTTAGATTGGTATATTGATATTTGTATATTTATATATAGTTTTGTTATGTATATATTTATATATGTATTTTATATACTCTATTTAATATGTAATTATATTTATGTCTATTGTTATGGTTATATGTGTATGTAGTAATGCTTACATAGGTACAGAGTTGTATAGTTTTATAATTATATTTATTTAGTTATAGGTACAGGGTTATTTAGATAGGTATATCGATATTTTTGTATAGGCTATACAGTTGTAGTACTCTGCAATAAATTAACTTTTTTAACTGAAGTTGATATTTGCATATTTTTACATAGCATAGTTGTAGCAATCTAATAAATTTTTTTAAACTTAAATCGATATTTGTATATTTATATATCAGCAGCAAGGGTGCATTATTTTGCAATAAATTTAATTTTTTAAACTTAAATCTATATTTGTGTATTTATAAATCAGTGCAGGTGTAGCAATTTGCAATAAATTTTATTTTTTAACTTTAATTTGGTTTTGTATGTTTTTGTATCGATAGTGTGGGTGTAGAAATATGGAATAAATTTAATTTTTAAACTGAAATAAATGTTGATTTGTGGTTTTTTAAGTAATTAGCAGAATTTTTAAGATTT